ACAAACCAAAAACAATGTTGTCGAAAAAAAAGTAATAAAGATAAGAGAGAGTAGTGTGTGTTACTTTTATAGTATCTAGACCTTTATATTTATAGGTAAGTGATAAGAGAATATTAGGAGACAATAAAAATATTACCCAGATTAATGTAGCACTGAAAATATCATATCGATATGATATATGAGATCAACATAAATATTAAAATTATCTTAATTATTTGTTGAAAACTGTTAACATAAAAAAAGGATATGATATCCTTTTAACCAATAAATATCCTTGGCATTTACAATGAGGTTTTGTCATTATCATGCTACTATCATTATTTTTCCAACCTAATCATTTTATATTAGACTATGCACTGATTACCACAAAATTTCCCACCAAAATAGACAAATGGAAGATCAAAAGAAAATATAAATTCTTTTTTGATACAAAATCAGATTTTTAATATTAAAGCCAACAATAATAGTTGGAAAAACCAAAACCTAGATCTAAGAGGCAGCTACTAGAACTTGGGATTTGTTTATGGCTACAATTTTTCTCTCCTTATCCTACTCTTGATCAAATCGACTGTGCATGAACCTAGCTTTAGATTATAATAATTTCAACCCTCCCATCGTGATGCCAAGTCCTCTTTTTTTTTTTTTTTTTTATCAAGGGTTTGTGTCCTTTCATATCACACCCAATAGCATAATAAGATGAGGTGAACTTAGATCCAATCTTTATGGATCATTGATTTCTTTATTTAATTAGTCCTTCGACCAAAAGGAAAAGTGAGGTTTATGAGAGAAAATAAAATTCGGTAGAATTCTAGATTCTGGTTTAGCTATTAGAGTTTCAATCCTAACAATTCAAAGTACAATTAAAAAAAAATTATGTGTAATTTATATTCAATGAGTTTTGAGATGTATAAATTACCGTCATTTTATACATTCACATGAAGTTTTAAATTCTATTTAAATGGGTTTAGTTAATTAATAAGTGTTTTTTGGATTATTTATTAAATTAAAAATATAAAATAAATTATAATAATAATAATCAAATATTACATCTATATATAATATATCATTGAATAATTAATTAACAAAATAAAACATAATTAGACAATCAAATAAAACATAATTAAACTTGAACTTAAAACTCGAAAATTCTAAAACCTCCTTCTTATCACAAAACCAAAACTTCATGTTCATTGAATTATAAAAAAAAATAAATTGACAAAGTTGTTTGGTAGAATACTATCAATTATTTAAATCTCCTCCGTTGATATATAAAATAAAATATTATATTATATTTTTAAATATATAGTATTTTTTATTTTTATATAAATTTTAAGTTAGTTAACCATAAATATAATATCCATTGGATATTTGGATTTATTTTTTCTAATTTTTAGAAGAATAATTTGAATTCAATATTTTTGATACATATGGAAGGTATAAATGAAATAGGGATTCAAATCTTAGAAAGTATCAATTTAGATTTCAATCCCACAAAGAAGGCAACAATTGAACCAAATATAACTTGCATTTATTTAAAAAATCACATTTATTACTGTATATTAAATTTTTTTTAATATATATTAAATTCTTTTATAAAACCTTAAAAAAGGGCAATGCATTGCAACTTTTTATAAAATTATGACTAAAAAATTTATAATTATAATCAAGTATTATATTTATATAAAAATTTAATAAATAATCAAATAAATTAATTAACAAATAAAAATATAACTAAATAAATCAAATATAAAATTTAACCAAATACATATAGCAAAATTATTTGACGGAATGGTAAAATTATTATATCTCTTTTTCAAATAACTTCATAAAATTATTCTTTAAAAGTTCATTTTCGCAAAGTGAAATTTCAACCTCATTTTTATAAAAATAATATGTTATCATAAAAAAAAAAAAAAGTATATCAATCTGTAAAAATCTCATTTCCTTTTTCTCTTCCAGTGAAAAAAAAAAGTAATAACCGCCAAAATAGTTAAACCTAATTCGGATACAGATCCAGACAGTACCCAACTTCCAAAATCTCCTGTTTTCTTTTTTTTTCCCTCGTATTGGCCACCTCTTCCCCCCTGCCTCAATAATTCACCAAGTTTTATTCTCTTTCTGTCAATCTCATCCACATTATTCCTCAAAACAACAAAAACAATAAAAAAAAGGCCAAAACAAAAAGAAAATTTATTTCTCTCCAAAAATCACGCTCCTTGTGGCACCAATTCTGTCAAGAGTTTGAGAGAGTTCATCGTGAATGGGCTTTTGTTTCAAAAACTTTGCTTCTTTCCTTCTTCATCAATGGCACCAAACCTTTGCTTTCTTCTGATACTTTATAGATTACCTATCAACGGCATTAACCTCCACCTTATTCTCCTCCATTCCCTCTTATAGCTCTTCCTCCTCACCGGTTTTCCCGGTTTCAAGAAAACTTTTGCATTTTGAAGGTGAATAAGGAAAAAAAATAGATCTTTGATTTTAAAAAAAGTACCCTTTTGGCGATTTTTATACAAATTTTATCGAAAATCCAATATCTTCTATTTAGTTTTTTCTCTTGTTGTAGTTTTTCTGTTTGGTTGGCTAGAGAAAGGGGGAAATTGAAGGAAAATATTCAACTTTGGATTGAATAAACCAAATCCCATTTGAGGTAATTGAAAATAAAAGTACCCTTTATTACCCAGATTGCTAAGAAAACATAAAATAATAAAATTTTATTTTTAAAATTTTACAATATGTATTTGAAGACACTTTTTTTTATTATTTTTTATTATTTTTTGTATACACTCCCTTAATTTTTTATATACAAAAAAATACAACTTTATCGAATCTCCAACTATCAAAATTATTATTGTTTGTATTAAGCTTCGATCTCAAAATATTTTTAAGAAAACAAAAGAGAAGAATGATTATATGTAAAGGCATAAAATATTTTTCACATTTGTAGTTCGACACACAACCAAAAACAATGTTGTCGAAAAAAAAGTAATAAAGATAAGAGAGAGTAGTGTGTGTTACTTTTATATAATATAGACCTTTATATTTATAGATAAGTGATAAAAAATTATTAGGAAACAATAAAAATATTATCCAGATTAATGTAGCACTGAAAATATCATATCGATATGATATATGAGATCAACATAAATATTAAAATTACCTTGATTATTTGTTGAAAATTGTTAACATAAAAAAAAGGATATGATATCCTTTTAACCAATAAATATCCTTGGCATTTACAATGAGGTTTTGTCATTATCATGCTACTATCATTATTTTTCCAACCTAATCATTTTATATTAGACTATGCATGATTACCACAAAATTTCCCACCAAAATAGAAAAATGGAAGATCAAAAGAAAATATAAATTCTTTTTTGATACAAAATCAGATTTTTAATATTAAAGCAAACAATAATAGATGGAAAAACTAAAACCTAGATCTAAGAGGCAGCTACTAGAACTTGGGATTTGTTTATGGCTACAATTTTTCTCTCCTTATCCTACTCTTGATCAAATCGACTGTGCATAAACCTAGCTTTAGATTATAATAATTTCAACCCTCCCATCGTGATGCCAAGTCCTCTTTTTTTTTTTTTTTTTTTATCAAGGGTTTGTGTCCTTTCATATCACACCCAATAGCATAATAAGATGAGGTGAACTTAGATCCAATCTTTATGGATCATTGATTTCTTTATTTAATTAGTCCTTCGACCAAAAGGAAAAGTGAGGTTTATGAGAGAAAATAAAATTCGGTAGAATTCTAGATTCTGTTTTAGCTATTAGAGTTTCAATCCTAACAATTCAAAGTACAATTAAAAAAAAATTTGTGTAATTTATATTCAATAAGTTTTGACATGTATAAATTACCGTCATTTTATACATTCACATGAAGTTTTAAATTCTATTTAAATGGGTTTTGTTAATTAATAAGTGTTTATTGGATTATTTATTAAATTACAAATATAAAATAAATTATAATAATAATAATCAAATATTACATCTATATATAATATATCATTAAATAATTAATTAACAAAATAAAACATAATTAGACAATCAAATAAAATATAATTAAACTTGAACTTAAAACTCGAAAATTCTAAAACCTCCTTCTTATCACAAAACCAAAACTTCATGTTCATTGAATTATAAAAAAAAATAAATTGACAAAGTTGTTTTGGTAGAATACCATCAATTATTTAAATCTCCTCCGTTGATATATAAAATAAAATATTATATTATATTTTTAAATATATAGTATTTTTTATTTTTATATAAATTTTAAGTTAGTTAACCATAAATATAATATCCATTGGATATTTGGATTTATTTTTTCTAATTTTTAGAAGAATAATTTGAATTCAATATTTTTGATACATATGGAAGGTATAAATGAAATAGGGATTCAAATCTTAGAAAGTATCAATTTAGATTTCAATCCCCCAAAGAAGGCAACAATTGAACCAAATATAACTTGCATTTATTTAAAAAATCACATTTATTACTGTATATTAAAATTTTTTTAATATATATTAAATTCTTTTATAAAACCTTAAAAAAGGGCAATGCATTGCAACTTTTTATAAAATTATGACTAAAAAATTTATAATTATAATCAAGTATTATATTTATATAAAAATTTAATAAATAATCAAATAAATTAATTAACAAATAAAAAATATAACTAAATAAATCAAATATAAAATTTAACCAAATACATATAGCAAAATTATTATATCTCTTTTTCAAATAACTTCATAAAATTATTCTTTAAAAGTTCATTTTCGCAAAGTAAAATTTCAACCTCATTTTTATAAAAAATAATATGTTATCATAAAAAAAAAAGGTATATCAATCTGTAAAAATCTCATTTCCTTTTTCTCTTCCAGTGAAAAAAAAAAAATTAATAACCGCCAAAATAGTTAAACCTAATTCGGATACATATCCAGACAGTACCCAACTTCCAAAATCTCCTGTTTTCTTTTTTTTTCCCCTCATATTGGCCTCCTCTTCCCCCTTGCCTCAATAATTCACCAAGTTTTATTCTCTTTCTGTCAATCTCATCCACATTATTCCTCAAAACAACAAAAAAAATAAGAAAAAGGCCAAAACAAAAAGAAAATTTATTTCTCTCCAAAAATCACGCTCCTTGCGGCACCAATTCTGTCAAGAGTTTGAGAGAGTTCATCGTGAATGGGCTTTTGTTTCAAAAACTTTGCTTCTTTCCTTCTTCTTCAATGGCACCAAACCTTTGCTTTCTTCTGATACTTTATAGATTACCTATCAACGGCATTAACCTCCTCCTTATTCTCCTCCATTCCCTCTTATAGCTCTTCCTCCTCACCGGTTTTCCCGGTTTCAAGAATACTTTTTCATTTTGAAGGTGAATAAGGAAAAAAAAAATAGATCTTTGATTTTAAAAAAAGTACCCTTTTGGCGATTTTTATACAAATTTTATCGAAAATCCAATATCTTCTTTTTAGTTTTTTTCTTGTTGTAGTTTTTCTGTTTGGTTGGCTAGAGAAAGGGGGAAATTGAAGGAAAATATTCAACTTTGGATTGAATAAACCAAATCCCATTTCAGGTAATTGAAAATAAAAGTACCCTTTATCGGAACAGGTTGAATAATTTAGGACTTAATGATGATTTTTCTTTGTTTGATTTTTTTTCAGTTTTCTCGGCAAACAAACAGAAAATTTCAGGAATGGCATCGGTGTTTTTGTACCATGTGGTGGGAGATCTGACGGTGGGGAAGCCTGAGTTGGTTGAATTCTCTGAAACAGAGGTGGTGGAATCTGCTATAAGAGCAATAGGAGAGTCAACAGAGTGTGGGATACCAGTTTGGAAGAGAAGATCTCATGTGGGAATGATTGAAAACAATGAAATGAGACAACAGAGATTTGTTGGTATTTTAACTTCACTTGATATTGTCTCCTTTTTAGCTAAAACTCAGTGTTTGGAAGATCAGGACAAAGCTATGAAAACACAAGTTTCTGATGTTGTTGACCGTAATAATGCTCTCTTGAAGATTGTTGATCCTGGCACCAGGTTAGTTAATCGCCGCTTTTTTTTAATCACTTTTTTTTCAGCTTAACACGTTATAACTTTTTAACTTTTTAGGAGGGTTGACCTATGACCTTAACCTCTCAAGAAGAGATATAGCAACTGTTGGGCCAAACCTGAGTATTACTTGAACTTTATGTTAAAGTGATTTATACTTGTTTCAAGTGGACTCGTTCTTGTTCTCGAGCTTTGGTTGTGTGAATTTTCTCTCTATTAGTGAGATATGTAATGTGCCTTTCATTGGCTTGGTTCGTATCTTGGTATCTTGTTTGGCATGGAATTAGTCATAGGGAAAATGACAGCCTGTGGCATTTTTGTCCTTAGAATCGAGTAGCATGTGTGTGTGTGTGTGTGTGTGCCCATGCGAGTTGGCATGATTTGCTTCCAAAGCAAGATTTGTTACATATGACCGGGATGGTTGTTATATCCTTATATTTAAGAATATTATGATTGCCCTCCGCCCCTACCCCCACTCACACTCTGTTACCTTATTGTAAAGGCTCATTGTTTTCGTCTGCATTGAAGCATATTTATGCACAGTTCAGATATATTTATTATTCACTTCATAAAATGTTGTCTATGTTCGAATGTTTATGGGTTAGGATCACAAAGATTAAACCTTGAAGCTTGTCATGCATGTGTGATAGTGTGCCTAGCAGTAGTGGTGTTTCTATTTTTCTTGTGCTGCTGCTAAGAATTGCAAGTCTGGGGCTCTTTCAATTTGCGACTTTGGCTCTGGTTTTCTTTGACTCCATTCCTCCAAGTCTGCAAGATGCTCAATGTTCCTTATCATATAAACCAAGAACCTTATATCTTCTGTAGTCATTGCAATTATTCTTCAAAACAAATTTGGCATTATGTATTGGCTGTTATAAAAACAGTCACCCTTACTGAAATTGTATAATTAATGTTTCCGTGCTCCTCTATGATTATAGAATAAGGAAAACTGAAAGAAAGTTGCAAGGGTCTCAAACAAGCACAAAAGCCCCACAACTTGAACCCAATCCCGAGAATACAGAACCCAAAAGGGTGCAGGTTTAGGTCTTAGTTTCCTCTCTAAACAGATACTAGTCAACTAAACAAGAATCGTACAGTGACTTTTCAGACTGACATCCACTTTTCTTCTGACTGGAGCAGTAAATAGTAAATTTTTTCGGGTGTACTTTTGAGGTTTCGAACCAATCATTATTATTTCTGTTCTTCACTTTTTATTTTCATACAATTTGCTGTCTTACCAATTTTTGTGCAATGTAGCATTGAGCATGTTACATTCCTGATTTAAATAAAACATGTCCGATTTTAGTTTTTTGGAATTTGGACTTAACTTGGTTGAACCGTACATATTCTTCACTTTTTCTTTCCATATATTCCCCATTGTTACTATTTTGGTGCACTTTTTTTTCCTCCTGCTATAAATTAAGCAAAAAGCATGTTCAAATTAATAGTTTTGTGGAATTCGGACTTGTTGTCTTTTCGAATAAATCTTATCCTTTTCTTATTTTCAAGAAGCATTGTCTCTTGAATAGCAGCTACGCAACTTGTGCTAGGTACATTTCCTTTTAGACACCCTAAGATAATCAAAATTTAGATTCATGTCTACATTAAAACTATTGCTCAAGGATGATTGTGTTTGCTGGTGTATATTCATATTAGTATAGATGTTCTCTTCTTATAACTAACAGTTTCTATTGGTCAATGTTATTAAAGCCATTGTTAAATGGATGATTGCTGTAGCATGCATTGTCATTATCTTTTCTCTTCTTCATTTTCTGCTTCTTCTTAATTAATTATTATTGTATACTACTTTTTTGACCATGTTGAGTGAGTCCCTTCTAGCATTCAGTAATGGATAACAGGGATTCAGGAATCAGATATTTTTACCCACAAGTTATACTTTCATTTGATTGTTAATCTAGGAATTAAGCATTTGGCAAATTAAAAAGATTCAGGCTTGTTTATCAATCTTTAGTCTGAGCAGGTTGTTCATAATTGTTTAATGATCATAGAAAATTGATTATTCTGTTTTGCTTACTACTTTTTGGGCTAAAATTTATGTGGATGTGAAAGAAAATGTAGAGCCTCTCAAATGTTTCACAGTGAAATTATGTTCACTGATAGGAGAAAGTTTTTGAGATATTGATCTCTTTCTCCAGCTCTAAGTGTCTTAAGGTATGACGCAGATTTGATGATTCTTTTTTAGGTATCTAACTGACATGGCTTTGATTAAGGCCTGTTTAAGTAGAATTGAGCAGTTGAACTGAATACAAATCTGTTTCAGTGCTGGAATATGTTTTGATTAGGCCATGAGAAGTATTCCTCTAGAAAGAACCTTTCTTTTATTACAGTTTAGAGTTTAGGAGCAAGCATCTTGTGGTTAGAGCTGATGCCAGGTATCTACCGCATCCTTTGTGTCAGTTTTTAGGTTAATGGGTCTAACCATGTCTGCAAGATTTTGTCAAAAACCCACTTAGAAAATCCCACATCTGCTTATTTTGTGTTCAGTTCAAGCTGTTTCATCACTAATTTTGCTACCTTGAAGCACAATCATCTCTGGAATTTATATTTTAAACCACCATATCTAAGTTTTGATCCCATCTAAATTTGTCAGACTATTGCTGAATGATTCTCTTAAGAAAATTCTTGTCTTTGGTAGGTAATCGTTAGAATTGAGTTATTGCACAAACAATATGTTATTCATAAGAGCTCTTTTATCTTTTATTTTTGTTTGGTTTAATGTTTTATTTCAGAGTTTTCACGTGGCTAGTAATGTCAAGACTGCTTAGCATTTGAGACGCTTCACCATCGTTCAATGTGGTTCATTTGAGGAAAAAAGCAGATTTTATTCTTATTTATGATTTTATTTATGTTGCAAGTAAGGACATATTGGCATTTTTATTGCAAGAAATTAGTGGAAAAAAGAAAGTCCATATTGGTTCCCAACTAACAATAGGATATTTAGTGGTTTTAATTTTATTAAGAAAACCATTGTACCATTAAAGAAAAAAAAGGAAATCATTGTATATGCTGGCTTCTTCCGCTTAGATCTAGTTGCAGCTGTCTTAATGTTCTCTAATGGCATTGTTAATTCTTTGTTGTTGGACTAGATTGATAGATGCACTCGAGATGATGAAGCAGGGTGTGAGGCGACTTCTTGTTCCAAAGAGCAAGGTATGGAAAGGCATGAGCAAGAGATTCTCAATTCTTTATAATGGGAAGTGGCTCAAGAACATTGAAAATGGTAGCAGCAACAACCTCATTGCTAATGCCAATGGCCCTTCTTCGTCCTCCTCCACCTATATGCGTGACAAGTTTTGCTGTCTCTCAAGAGAAGACATCATCCGCTTCCTCATTGGTTGCCTTGGTGCTCTAGCTCCACTACCCCTCTCCTCTATTTCCTCGCTTGGAGCCATAAACCTAAACTATAGCTCTATTGAAGCCTCCCTCCCTGCTTTAGAAGCAACTCAAAAACATCCTGGTGATCTCAGAGCAGTTGCCGTTGTGGAGAGCACACCAGATGATCACCATAAAATTTTAGGAGAAATCTCAGCTTCCAAACTATGGAAATGTGACTATTTAGCTGCAGCTTGGGCTTTAGCCAACCTCTCAGCTGGACAATTTGTTATGGGGGTTGAGGATAATGTGAGTTCAAGATTGCTCCCGGACTTCTCTGTTGATTCACCAGTTCAAGATAATAAAATAGTGAATGGTGCCTGGTCGACAAGGCCAAGGAAATTCAGTAGTAGAAGCATTGGATTTAATCCAGTGAGCCCAACTTTCAGTTTTGGCGGGAGCATGTATAGGGGCAGAAGTGCACCCTTGACATGTAAAACTACTAGTTCTTTGGCCGCAGTTATGGCTCAAATGCTATCTCATAGGGCAACCCATGTCTGGGTGACTGAGGATGAAAATGATGATGTTTTGGTTGGGGTGGTTGGTTATGCTGACATTTTGGTTGCAGTGACCAAGCAACCTGCTGCAGTGATTTCCTCAACTCGATCAATCACGGAGCTTGGCTCAGAAATTCAATGTTGAATTTCCCTTTTCCCCCCGTTTTACCATTGTGTATGTCTCTGCTTGTGTCTTTCCTTTATTTTGGTTCTAATGTTGTACTTTAGCAGCATTTTAGCCCTCTTATGCAGCATACTCTTATGAGGTTGCTGAGAGATTGGGGCTTGGAATGGGGTTTATAAAAATTGATCAATGTTTTGTATAATTTTGGAGTGTCTTTTACATTCAAAGATATCAAAAGAGTGGATTATAGTTGCTGTCCATCCTCATGTATGCTAGGACAGCAAAGTTATTGTAGTTGTATTAAACCTAGACAATGTTTTTGAGGTTTTTTGGGATATAATCATCTTTGCAATTGAAACGTGTTGAGTGTACTTAAGGCTCGGCTTTACTGTGCTTCCCACCTGAATGTATTACAATCCCATTCCTTTTCTTTCTGCAAAATGGGTTGGGGACGAGTCTATGGTAATTATGACTTTTTTTTTTTTTTACTTTAGACATTCAAGATTTGATCCTAGATTACTAGAATTAAGTTCAGTATCCTATCAAAAGATGGACATGGTTCTTCAGCGATTACGATGTTCTTTGTATCTGGAGAAATGTCTTCTCTCATTCATGGACCTTATTTATTTCTCAATGTCAGGATTTTTTTATTTTGCTTTACCCATCGGGCCATCTCTAAGTGGAACTTCATGTTTCCTCTTCTTTGTGGTTGTTTTAAAATCAGCCACAAGTCCATGGTCTCTGGTGGTCTCAGAAATGTTCAATGCCCACGATATGAACATGCTGTTGAGATAAGTAGGGAAGGAATGGGGTTTTCTCAATAATGATTTTGGATTCAAGCCTTGGTGCTTCACCTTGTAACTGTCACCCCAAAATTATGAAAAAAAAAAAAAAGGGCATGGAAACTAACCATCAGAATCTCTAATTCGCCCATCAATTCTTGATTATGTTGGTTTAAAACACAACTAGAAAAATTACCCGGCTTCGCCTAGGATGCAATTTTTTTTTTAAAATTTTGATAACTTATAATTTATTTAATTTTTAATTAAATACTAAATAAAAAATTAAATATTTATATTATTTTGTTGGTTTTTTATTTTTTATTTTTGAAAATATAATCTTTTGAAAAAATAAAAAAAAGTTTTATACTTTAATTGTGTCACTCAATTACATTGATTAGTCGTTGGCTTTTATTTTAAATAAGAGAGATTATTTTTAAAATTTTGTATAAATTAAATCCAAACTTAATAATATATAAATGATAATATAATTTATCCATATAATATTTACTTATTACCAATAGTGATTTATTATCGAATTCAAATCTATTTACTCATGAAATGAAAGCTCACTAATATAATCATCCATTCAACTTGGTTTTTTTTTTTTAAAAAAAAAAAGCTAATAATTTTAATAAGATAAGAGAAATATTTTTGTAATTATAATAAAAAAATATTATAATAATTTTAATAAATGATGATAAGAGAATATTTTTATAATTATAACGAGAGAATATTATAAAAATTTTAATTAACTATAATAAAAAATTATTTTGATAATTATAATAAAATAATTATAATAATTTTTATTGTTTATAAAAAAATTTTACACGTATCATTCAATTATCAAGTAATTAAAATAATATTATAATTATTTTTAAAGAATTATTTTCGTATTATTGTAGATATAGTTGTCTGAACTTAATTCTGATATATTTATCAGGTGAGTTTGAATGGGATTTTATTGATCATTCCCCTAGATTTCTAAGGAATGCTGACATGGTGAAATCGTTGTCTCAAACAAGGAGGACATGGCAGCCCGTTCAGAAAAGAACTCTCACCCAGGAGCCACAAAAGGAAAGTTGGAGTCTGTCAGACAACTGAGTGACCATCTCAGCCAGGCAAACACTAGCTGAGAACGATCCTCTGCGGTCTTTGTCTTTCTATATTTGAAGACAAGACCAATAATCACGCTCTGATCACACAGTCATATCTCATCAACCAGACTTGGAATCCTGTCTCCTTAGAACTCAAGGACACAGAGGTACGAGCCTATAGAACAGATCCTGTTCAAGTAAGGTCGTGCCCTCTTACCACTTGGTTTTATCTTAAATACCATTTAGTTCTGTCTTAGCCTTTCGATGTGGGATTTTCCTTTAACTTCGACAATTTAGTTTAGTCCGTGTCCCGCTTGGGTTCTTGCTGTCAGGTTATTAATTACACCTGTCTTCTGCCATTCTTATCCAAAAAGCGCAAAACCAAACCAATTTGTTTGTTTCCATTGACAAATAAATAATTGATTAATTAAGACTAATAAAATTTCAAACACGACAACAATCTCAACCCTTTTTTTTTTTTAACCTTAAGCCTAGCTGTGGCTACAAAGCTAGGTCTACTTTCCTTCCAAGAACATCTATTTCTTTTTTTTATTTATTCATTTCACAAGTTGCAACCGATACAAAATATATATATATATATAGTTTTTTTTTTCTTTGTCAAAATGAAGAGGCTTATGTTGGCTGCAATGATTTAATTTGATCTTTAAATTTTAATTTAAAAGATTTAACTAACCATTAGTAAATTTCAAAAAAAAAAAATCCAGTAGTTGACATTAAGTGACAAACAATATTATTTTATAAAATTAAGTCATGTTAAATGTATAAAATTATTGATAAAATGAGATATTAATTATCTTATATTATATTTGATTTGTATTTAAAAAAGATATATAAATTGTTAAAAGGATTAATATTTTCTTGACATAAAATTATTTAATCTTTCTCGATTAAAAATAATTATTTTTAATTAATAAAATTAAACTTATATATTTAATTATACCTTTAAAAATAATATCAATAATTTAAATTACATAAATTTTAAAAAAAAATAATTTTAATAAATAAATTATCCTATCTTAATCTTTGCATACATCAAATATAAAATATGATGATATTATTTAATCTAATCATATTTATAATATTATCTTATTTTATCATATCATAATTTTATATACTAAACATGATCTTAATATGTAAAATAATTCATGTACTATTTATCTTAGATATCAATTTAATATTTAAAGAAATAAAATTTTCATTTTGATATTTTAACTTTAATTTTGTCAATTATTTTGATATCTTACATTGATACCATTAATCAAGTGAATAACACATTATGAATATCAAATAAAATCATACCATATATTATAAATATTCAATTATTTTCAAGTTAATTATTATCACGTAAGTAAAAAAGTTTTTTAAAATGAAATTTGATTTTTTAAAATAAAAGTTTCAAAAAATAAAAGAGATGACATAGAAAATAAATGATGTGATGATAATTGGATATTTATATCACATGTAATAATGTTATTGAATATTAATGTAATGTAAGAAGCTTGATTAACAGTGTTAATATGAAATATCAAAGTGTTTGATGAAATAAAAGTTTAGATATTTTAAGGATATTAATGCTATTTTAAAATTTTAAATATTAATATAAATAATGATAAATAGTTTTGTTTTAAGTGTTTAATTTTAATATATATTTTAATATTAAATATTATCATTAAAATATAAGGAGGAATTTACTTACACTAGTATAACAGTTCTAAGTTTTTTTACTGTAACCAAAATAGTTAAATGTAATTGTTATAAATTTTATTTTAACTCAAAGACAAAAAAATGTGTAACTCTTAAAATAGAATAAGTGAATCATTATTTTTAAAATATAATTATTGTTAAATATAATAACTTTAATATATTTTAATAATACATAATTTTCAGTACTTAACAATTACGTCAATATTATTTGGAAAAGTAGACAAATTTTTCAAAAAATAAACCAAACAAGAAAAAACATTTTTTATTTATCTATCTAAACAATAAAAAATATCTACTTTCCAAAAATTGTAAATATTTTTTAAAAAATATTTTTTAAAAATTAATTTTCATAAAATAAATGAAACCTTATTATCACGTCTTATCACGTTATATCATCTATACATAATAACTAAAATACCTAAACTCTATCAATGTTGAACACAGATATAATCTGATCGAATTATTTAAATATGATTTCAATTGATTTAAAGAAATTTATTATATCAAATTTAACGAATTAATAAATATTACTTTTCGGTCGTAATGAATTCGAATTCAAATTTAAATTAAAAAATTTTTAACACTTAAAATCAATATCCATTTATTAGTAGTAATTATTTTTTGTGTATTCAAAGATGATATTGGATGATAAATTTGGTCAATTTTAACATTTATGATGTTGTCAACTATTAAAACAAGTGAATGACCATAGGATTCTTTGGTGTTTTGAAAGATAAGGATAAGCCAAAAAAAAAAAAAAGTGCGAACTCGTGTGGAAATAGGATATGTATTATTCAGTCATTATGGCCACATGATTCCATTATTATAACAAGAGATAGATGCTCCTTTGATCACACAATCAATTTGACTGAAAATGAATTAATACGCGGAGCTTACACGGATGTTTAAAATGCTCTATTATTAGCCCATAAAAAAATATATATATATATATATAGTAATTAAATACCCTTCGATTTTTATCATTTGGATATTCTCTTTTATTCTCAATAACCATCCATCGTTTGGGTGCCTTTTGGCGAGGGAAAATGTTAGGAGATTAGGAAGTAAGAAAGAGAATTGAGACTTGGATGTTACTCGTTGAAATAAACAAGTAAAAGTTTTATTTACACTCCCTAGATTTTGTCAATGTGAGTATGTGAGTTTCATTAATAGTGTTTGCGTTTGGTGGGAAGGAAAAGGTTAAATTATAACAAAGGTTTTGTAGTATGTAAAAACTTAGAATTTAATTTTTATATTATTTTAATTTTATAATTTTAGTCTAATTATTAATTTTGTTAATTTTTTTGGTTAAAAATACTGATATGATCCTTGATTTAATGATGTGGATATTAACTTTGTTAATGTGATAATTTGAAAGATAAAATAAGTTGTTAAATTATGTAAATGATTCATATACTTACACGAAATTTAAATTTAATTTTTTAGTATAAAAATTCAATATTTGAATTTTTTTATAAATTTTCTAGATTTTCTAAAAATATTAAAATTTTTAATTTTTTAATATTTTTATTTCATTATTTGAAAAAAATTTTATTTTTTCAAAAAAAAGTACAAAAAAGTTTATAAAAATTCCAAAAATTTAAAAACAAAAAATTGAATATGTTGATTAAATAAAATGTTAAAAATTGAAAAAAAATCAATAAATCAAAAAGTGATTTTATTTAAAAATTAAAATATAAAAAATGTACATTTGATATTTAAAAATTAGAAAATTTCCCAAAATAATTCAAAATATTAAATTTTTAAAAATTAAAATATGATTTTAAAAATTAAAAAATATGATTTTTAAAAACTTAAAATAGTTAAAAATATTAAGTTAATATTTTTCAAATATTAAAATTTCTAAAA